TTGTGATGACTTGCTTGCTGATCTTTTCATCTGATATCAAAGCAATCGGATTCTCAATATCTGAGCAGAGCTTGATAAATATGAATAAAAGCCCATGACATCATACCATGTATCTGCACTCTCATAATCACTACCCCACGATGAATCCCGGGATTTCATTTCTAAAATCCCAAAATCCTAACTTCAGGTCCGAGATTCGCGGGAGAATATCGGGAGAGACTTGGCAAGCGACCTCCTTTTTCTTATCCGTTTCCTACATCCTCCTCCCACAAATTATCTGATAATCATCAACATCAAAATCAAACAAAGCAAGTTAGAAACCTTCATTGATATTATACTTCTTAACGCACAGTCTCTCATCCCGATATATATCGCAAACCCGAGATCGTGGAAAAAACTTGCCGTCCACTCGCGTAAATCGATGTGCTCATCGAATCCCTGTATTGCGTGCTCAATACACCTCTGCACATTGAATTTTCCATGGGTTTTGCTATCGCGATAGAGTACAGTAGTATGTAGATAGCGATTGTGGGGTGATGAAAGAAAGAAAGAAAGAGAGGTGCGAAAGAATGAGGTCCAGGTTATTGGGGAGCCTTTTTATCTTTGTCATAAAGAAACTGTGTGGGATCTTTGAGGAAAGGGGGGAGAAGGTGATATTGATATTTTGAAGTTGAGCGACGCATATCCGGAAATGAAGAACGATACAATTTGTGGAACGCTGGAACCCCCACTCAGGGTAAGCAGCTCCGGATGTAAAAGTACGGATTTGTACTGATGTCTCTCCAGGTGTTACAGTGTGGCTTCATGGTTGTCTAGTTGCATGGATGGCAATTTTTCACTTAATCAGCTGATATATGTACTTGAAGAAACAGATACGGTATTGTATTCGCATATGCATCGAATAGGAATGGATATCGATATGTGAAGGATTTTAATTAGGATTAGCATTGGGGCTCGGAACAGGTCCGTAAGAACTGAAAGCTCCTTGCTGCTGTGTCCACTACGGTACCCATCCATTCTTGATTCTTGATGCAAGACGCCATTGACTCAAGTGGGACCCAATGGATATTCGGAAATTTAATTACTATACGAAGCACTCATTGGATTGAAGAACGTGCTGTCAGTATCATGTTGGTTAGTAAAGTGGGCTTGTTAAGAGGAGGTTCAAAGTTCTTTGATCTCGACTTTCTCTGTCCTGTTCAAAAAGGTTCAATATTTCGTAATATCTTTGTTTTCTTCGGTCCTTTTGTTGGAAAGAGTTGTAGCTCGGCAATTGAGAGGTCGATTGGATGGAAGTATAAAACTTTATATACTGCAGGTATTCGGGTGAAATTCCATGGTTCTTGAACTTCGTCTGGATCATTTATCAATTTGGGGTTCGTATCACTCTAGGAATTCGCCGGTGTCACGTCGCCACGATTCTATACCGAAACGAGTTCCGCACATTCGCTACAGACTATAATTGGTTCTTCACAGAAGAACCCTCGCAGAACTGACTGAATCGTATTTTCTTTCTCCATTTCCACATTTGGAAATATATTGACTCGGGATATCCCACGCAAAGTTTCGCCTCTTCCCATTACATGCTGGTCTAGGGCGGTCCTTCACATACTTGGGATCCATTCACCTGCGCCTTACGACGCCCGCCTCACCCCATCTCCACGGCACGACCCCTGGAAATTTCTCCACGCTATCGCATATCGATAGAGCACACTTACATAATATCTATACGCTCGAGCGCCAATAGCCATCCATAAATCGAACATATCCCACTTGTCGAAAAGATTTCCAGCCTTGTGCTCGAGTCGACCGGTCGAGTCTTGTAATAAACACCCTGACGATTGTGTGATCTCTGCACCTCTGGTGTATTTGTTTCGTCGTCCTATCACGTCGAATTAGCACAACGATTTACTATATAAAAGGTCGCCATGACGGTCACGCAGATATATCCTTCTATCGCTCCAATACCGATAATAGAGCCGGAGGTTCTCTATCAATCGCAGCATTTCGATCTTCAGCCTCAAACCCATTTTCAGCAGCAGCAGCAGCAACAACAACAACAACATTCATACCTAGATCCCGCCCTTGCTCAACATGATATCAGGATATTCACTCAAGGGCTGGCGCATCCGGGCTACGATACCCCAATAGCGCCATACCCTGCCTCGGATAGTAGTGAGGGTTCGACGGATATGTGGGGAGGAGTGATGAATTGGGTTGATGGACAGAATGCTTGTGAGTTATTTTGCCTATCTCTTCCGTTTAATGGGCGGATCAACACGCCCTACAAGAGATAAAAATGAACTTTCGTTCTACAACGAAGTGTTCTGACAAGATAGTGGCATTCACCAGCTCCCAATCTTCGTCATAGATCATTGTAATCAATACATTTTCAAGTACTAATTCCCATTAGCCATGTCCATGCAACCATACCTTCACATTCAACCCCCACCATCGGCCCCTCTATACGCTCAAGAACTTTCCTCGCCCACACAATCACTTTCCCCAAGGGAACCAAATGCCAAACGAGATGCATCCACTGCAGCTTCGGCACGATTTCGCCAAAAGAAAAAACAAAGAGAAAAGAGTCTGGAAACAAATGTTAAGGATCAAAAGGATAGAATTGGTACTATGGAATGTAGGATAAAGGAATTAGAAGGCGAGAATGGGTTTCTGAAGGAACTAGTTATGGGCAGGATTAAGTGGAAAGAGGAGAGAGAGAATGGGGAGAGTAGTAGCGAGCAGGATGGAAAAGAAAATGGTGATGGGAATGAAAATGGTGTTGAGAATATCAAGTAAATGGGGTATATAAGTACTATGTTGTACATAAAGAGCGCAAGGAGTGAAAGTTGCTCGGGATTTTCTTTTGTTGCGATGATCGCCCGAGGTTCAAGTATATACCACTATTTTTGGGTAGTTTTTGTTTGCTGGACTAGCTGGCTTGACTTTGCTGTCTGGATATAAGGTTATTGCCTTTGACTTGCGAATCTAATGTCTTGAGGAGTTGCGGTACAAAATGAAGAACCGCTCACCATTGCTCACTTGAGACTGAAATACAAAAACATCATAGCATCTTGAATGGGTGCTACAGATCTAACTGGGGCTTGCGAATCAGTCCTAAGATAAGACTCACCAAGCAAGATAATTAACGGATTAAAGTTGATCCTTGCGGCCGTATTTCTCCGGGAAGATCTACCATCTCAGCCATAGAAACGACTCGAGGGATATTTATTTATTGTGACTCTGCGAAACCCATGAACACAAAGTCGAGCCAAGACAAGAGGAAACAGGAAAATAGAACGTATAGATATCTTCATTTCACCATCTCTGACCAAAAGCCAACATGCCTCTGTCAACTATACACTCGGCGCCAGCTTGGGACTCATTCACACCTTTAGTTGAACACCAAACGCAAACACCAAGCACATTCTACGATGCTCGACCTATATTACATGCTCACGCTAAAGGTGCGCGCGCAATTGCTTACGGCGAATACGTAAAAGAGTTACCATTTTTTGCAGATGGTCCGGCGCAAAGTACAGAGGCGCCTGCAGTGGAGACTGTTGATGCCTACATATCCACTGAGTAATTGCTCATATCTCACCATTGCCTGTTATTCCAAAGCTAATTTTGTGTTTCATGTAGAAATGTCACCATATTCAACAATACTACTTCAGCCGGACTCGCGATTCCTTATACTTCCATATCTCTGCATGCTATTCAACGTCTGCCTGATCCAACTGATGCTTCAAAAGGAGAGGTGACTGGTTTATTTATGCAGTTAGAGACACCTCCTCCAGCTGGAGAAGATATACCATCAATCATCGAATTAGTTCTCATTCCCGCCGAATCTGCTTCTACACAAACAATATACGAAGCTTTATCGAACTGCTCAAATCTTGTACCTGACGAAGAAGATGAAGACATGGAAGGAGGAGGTGCAGAAATTCAATTCGAAGGTAACATTGGATATGAAGGTATCAGTGGACTTCCGGGAGTACAACAAGGAGTTACGGATGGTGGATTGCCACCTCCATTTCCTGGTAGTGGGGGCTGGATTACTGCGGAGAATGTGTCGCAATATTTTGATGAAGCGGGTAATTGGATTGGGGGTGAAGAGTCTGTCGAAGCTCTAGGTGATGGCGCTGGAAGAGTAAGAGGACATGATGAGGTTGACGGGGAGGCGGAAACAAATGGTCATAATGAAGGAGATGAGGCAAGTAAACGCCCAAGGACCGATTAAAAAGCAATGCATTGATTTTGCGGGGATCCATCCATACCAAGGTTCCGAGTTGAGTGAGCAGGTCATCTTTTGTCCATCTTAGGATGCCTCAATATTCCGTAATTGGAATTCTGACCCACGAGAAGGGTCACTCCATTGCTGGAGCACCAATGCTTGTGATTACGAGGAAAATTTTACAAACATACAGCGATTTAATTGCTTTGAAAATAAAGAAAGATACCACAAACATTAGAATGCGACAAAATGATAGGCAATATCCAACAATACAATGTACCCACATATGGTTTCATGTGAGGCCTGGTATGCATGATAACCTGGTCCTGGATAGATTTCTTCAAATAATCCCGCACAATCAGTTCATCTGCAACCTTGAAGTTTCATGGTCTGACAACAAAATGGATTGCAATACATTTGCGTTCGATGTAGTCACATACTCTAATATCATATTTTTACTACTTTGGAGCGTAGCCAACCACGCGTAGATTACTGAGTATGCGTGACGGGACAATGGTGGATGAGTGTAGCTCGAACATAGCTTGAGTAACAGCTAGGGCTTGAGTATGGGGTGCAGGCATCTATTTTAAGGACTATACGGTTGAGGTGTGCCTATAAAGTAGGAATTGTAGTATTCATTATAAGATTACATCTGGGCTTCGTCACTTTATATTTTATCCGATATAGATAGTGATGCACATTGCACATTGCACATTGCAGTCCACCAATTCCGCTCAATAATCTACCTTAGAGCAGAAACATATACTCGAGTAAAGATTTGGAAGAGCTGCGAATGTTACATTCTCATCGCTTTTATGTTCAGTCACTAGAGTAGATTTATGCGCTATAGTGAGTCGGGCTGTTATTCAATACTGTACTGTACTTGGGTAGACAAATGTAATAATACATCATTCTAGTACCGGTTGTAAATAAATTTGAGTCGGTGCTGTAGATGCATTTTCTTTGATCCTGTCTATGGAGAATAAGAAGGAGGACGAGAATAGCTAGGAAGGAGGATTGGCAGGAGAGTTGGCAATTATACTCGAGTAGGTGTTGCATTACAGTATTGTATTAGTCAGTGATTAGCTAATCGATCATAGTAACGTTAGTTTCTTCCGTCAAGTTAATTAAGACTATTAAAGCAACTATCGGTATTAATCGTTATTAGTTCTCACTTTTGAAGGTAATTTAGCTCTTATCTGTAGTTTCGCAATATTCCTTTATTACTAGTATTTAAAATAATGTTTTATAAGTATAACTCTAATACTACGAAACTATAAAATATAATTAGCCTCGTTGTCTAGACCTAGGACTAAACCCAAGACTAAGCCTAGTCGCTAATTCCAACGCCTTTCTTATCTACTCACAACATTGACTGACTTTATTCAATTTTCATGTCCTATATCGTTATCAGGTTATTCATTGAACAAGAGACAGAAACTGAGAGGTTATGACTGTTCTGAAGTAGACTTACAAATTAGATATTAAAACAATTATTCCGTATAATTAACTGGAGAACTCCATAGCTACGACAACTTTTTCCATAATGGATCACATATTGATGTTTAACTACTACCAGCCTTATAGCATAGCATAGTGCTGTTTATATAACAGAGACTAGATTTGCTCAAGAGGACTATAAATCACCTTTGGTGGTTTTTCCTATACCCTATTTTAGATGTTTTAGATGTTCAAATATAAGCCATAGACTATAACCACAAGCATTTTGAAGCATTGATACATCCTTTGATATCCTAGCGGACTTCTGTCTAGAGAGTTGTATGTAAATGTCAAGTTGTAATGGGTGATGGCTGTGGCAAGAGTACAATCAATACAAGTAGGTCAAAGCTAGATGTTCCGCAAGTGAATTTGATAGACAATTGTTATGTGAATAGTATCTAATTATTGTTGGGTATATATAAAACCTTAGCGTTATTCTAGCCGATTTCATCAACCAAAACCACAACTTTCCCAACTCCAAAACCCTTCCTTCCAGATTGAAAATTATTAAAAAGCCAACCACATCCAATTTCCTTCTAACAATTGATTGATATGATACTTTGACTAGTTATCTACCCGTACTCCACGTTTCTCAAAGCTTATGTATTTGATGGAATTGATATACTATTTTGGAAAGAGGGTATCTGGAGAACTGCGATATGCAACAAAACTTAAATCTGATGAAAGACTACCTAGTAGCTCTCTCACAAATATCCTGGGAGAAATTCATATCGCATCCTAACCTGGAGGAGGTTGGTGTGGAAATATTTGATTATGTTGGGTTTAGGTACATCTGATGTTTTGAAATTTGTATCGATGAAATAGACTTGTCTGTCCCTTTTCCCTCTCCCGCTTTCTCTCCTCTACATCTTTCAATTCACAAAATTAATACTCTTTCTCCCACATCCATATTCAAGCCTCCCTCTCTATCCCCGTCCCCGATTTCCTCCTCACCAGAAACTCACTTGACCTACCTACCCCTCTCACATCTAACCTCAGCCTCCATCTTCATTTGCTCCAGAACACATGCAAATTTCCCTGACTTTACAAGGCTTCCAATTACCACATACGTTTTGATAAGTTTGCCTGGAAAAGGTGCTGTTATATGATGTGGGTTTTGGTTTACCACCGAGCCAGTGATGTTGATGTGAGTTTTGAGGGGAAGAAATAATGCAGGACTAGGACAGTCCAAAAATCTCGAGTCCCGATTTCGTAATTGGTGGTGAAGAACAAAATATACAAACGGAAAAAATTCCGAGCACGTGTGATACCCCTGTATCGAATGTTCTTTTCTTCTATGCGTTCCACAGGAAGTGCTCGAGTATATACTTGGAACAATGAATTCTGACTCATTCTGCCTGGAACTACTCATGCCGCCAGAAATCCGCAACTCGGGTAGATTAGCACATACCATATACTGGTAAACAACAAGGGAGTAACCTAGTTTTCTTAGTTCCCGAGTTGCGGACTTTCTGGCGACATGAGTATAGGTCCTGGTCCTGGATAGGCTGGTGTTGACGCTACCCCGCTACCCAGTTCAACAACCTAATCCACTTGACCATCTGATCTGATCTGACCTTATAACAACAAATAATGTATCAGCTAACAGTAGATCATACCACTCAAATGAAAGCAAACCGAATATCACAAAACTGCGCCTCCCAGCATCTTACATACCAAATAGATCGCAAAAGAAAGAAACATATGCTATAAGTGGAAATCGAAATCAGATCTCGTGGTGGTTCAAAGACGATTAGCTAGCCTACGTCACTGATCTAAGCGAGCGAGGCAATTCCAAGATCCATCAACCAGCTACTTGTACCAGCTTTCCCATCTTTAAATGCAAATGCATATCCCTCTTTTAAGACATTTTCTCCACATGAAAATAATAATTATTCTGTCCAAAATCACACGAATCTTTGAAGAAATACATTATTGAAAATACCTCAAAGATCTTTTGAGTTCTGATCAAATTATTATAAGATAAACTCGCAAATATGGGTGTAGTTTCACAGAGTGAGTTGTAACTCGTACTTATTTACCTAGAAATAAAATACTAACAAGCTCAACGTCCTTTTGATCTTGGTAACTCTCTTAGCTCCTCCTATTGGCGTCTTTGCCGTATCGGGATGCGGACCCGATCTCCTAATTAACATCTGCTTAACGCTACTCGGGTATATATCCCTTATTTTCATCCCCTCCCTCCACCTCAAAACTCAAGACTAGATACTAACAAACCAATAGATACATACCAGGACACATTCACGCATTCTATCTCGAATATGTGTACTATGAACGACGGGAAGCGGCCAGGGAAGGAAGATTCCAAGCCGCTCGAGCACCCGGAATCTATTCTGATCGCGTACAAGGTGGTGGTTACGGTACGATCATCGAATCTACGAATTGAGATGGGCCTTGTCTGAGTTTTTCTTGTGTTATATATAGTCCATGACGCGAGATTATAATTCGGTCGAGATATGAGAGGGGGAAGAGAGACACAGAGAGAGGGTGGTGGTTGTAATAATTCGATACGTGGAAGAAAGAGATGAGAATAATAGCTGGAGAAGAATAGAGAGGAGAAAGGTTGCGATTTGCCAATTTGGATATTGAGGCTTTCCTTTTCAAAGAACGCCTTGCACTAAAATTGGCCATCTGAGGGGAGATTTGAATGAGTTCGGAATAGTTTTATGGGATACAAGTTTGGTTATTTGAGAGTTATGAGAGGAATGGGTTGGGTTGGCGATACCACTTTTTGTTCTTACGTTTCTTTTTTATAGTTTCTTGAGCGACAGATGGATTTAAGGGGATAAAAGTATTTCTCATACAAAAACTTTCTTCCTGCATCTTCAATATCGAATATCTAATATTGAATATCAGTACAATATCTCTTTTATATCATCTCAAATATCAAATGCACTGCCACATCGTTCTCCAACTGAAGCTTTAGCCACATCTTACCCCACAATACGCTAATTTAGCTCAAGCTTTCAGATTGAGACGTGTTAAATCCGAAAGTCCAGATTGCGATATTATCTCTAGCTATCAATTCATTCCCCATTTTATAGAACTTTCACCACAACAACCAGGAATTGAACGACCACGGCGCATGTTTCCAAGAAACCTAATCGCATATACACTACTCTTCAATTGAACACAAAGAAAGTAGAGCAAGCAAACCAATCATGCATTCCTCACTTGTGCGCATCCAAAATGTCTTTGGATTCTTCACCACAGTGACTTTTGGCATCGCGGCTTTGATCGCATGTACAGATTTCATTTCGCCCAGGACACCTAATGCTAAAGTCGAAGTTAAGGATATCCAAGTGTATGCCCTCTTCATCCTCCATTTCCCATGACCTCCCGATCCCCAACTAATACTGCCGTTTTCTCAGTGTAAAAGGACGTCCACACTACTACTCTACGAAAAAAGAAGAATACGCACACATTCGATTCTCCCTCAACGCCGATCTCTCCTCCCTCTTCAACTGGAATACCAAACAAGTTTTCGTCTATGTCTCTGCATCATGGCCTTCAAATTCTTCTGAACCGGCAATTTTAGATAATGAGGCGGTTATTTGGGATACGATTATTACGAATCCGAGCGCAGATCATTTACAGAATATTGGGCCGGCCGCCATGAAGAAATTGGTTAAGAGTTCTAAGGGGAAGAGTATTGACCCTTCAAGGTTGGTTTACCCTTTTTGTTCCCCTTCCTTATTTTGCCCCTCCCAGAATATATGCAATATACAATATATACTAACCCACTATCCTTACACAGAGGAATCCTCAAACTCAAAAACCAAAAAGCCAAATACCAAATCACACAACCAAGCGGCAAACTCGCTTCAACAGAAGGAGTAGTATTGAAAGTTCATTATAATGTGCAGCCATGGGTTGGGGCACTTACCTGGACGCCTCAAATAGAGTTTTTGAGATGGAATAAGGTTAAAGGGGGTGTGAGTAAGGTTTTTGGATTACCAGCTTTGAAGGAAAAGAAGAAGGTTGGGGAGGAGACTGGTGCAAAGAAGGCTGAAAAGAGGGCTTAGTGTGATGGTGGAGTGGGAATTAGAAGGATAATGGGTAGTTTTGGAGGTGATTATAAACCGATATTTTGGGAGGATGGGATTTATGCATCATTATAGAAATGGGTTGGAAGAATGCACATTCAAATATAAGATCTTACAATGTTGGTTTCCGGTAATGAACCATCATTATCTGTTGCGACACTAGTGTATATTGGCACGTGATATCGCGTCAAAGCGCGATATCCATATAGGCCTCCCCGCTCTCAAAGTGGGAATAGCCTCAGCCAAATTTAATACAATACTTTTGAACCATATGGTATAGCCATTTCACCACCGAGGTGATACCAACATTATCCTAAACATCACTTTGCTGGCTTGATTTCTTTCTTCTAATCTTCTTATTTTCATTTGGAGATATCAAGTACTATACAAACTTACTTTCTTTTCAAATGAGAATATCTTGTTTAATTACAATCACATTCACTTTCCATACAATTCCCAAAATGAATACTTATAAGTGCATGCAAGTATAGCAACAGTACTCGTATACATGTACACCTCATCTCGCTTCTAAATTCTCAATCCGTATTTTTCTACTCGAGTATAAGAAGCGGGAATAAATGGGTAGAAAATACCGGTATATCAGACCAAATTGGGTTTTCATTTGTAGTGAGTGTTTATGGGGGCTGTTGGGGGGGAAGGCGGGATATTCAGGGAATTTGAGGGAATTTGAGGGAGGGAGGTAGAAGGGTAGAAGGAAGTCTATGGAGATATGAAGATGATGATGATAATATCGGTAGTAGTTGGAGAATCGATAATGAGAATGAGAATTGGTATGCTGGATGGTGATGGTGATTATGATGATTATGGTGATGATGATTGTAGTATCTATAGTTATGTCTAGCAGTAGCAATGATTAGAGTTAAGAATAGTATTTATAGAATGTTATTTAATATACTCGAGTACTTTCCGTTATATTTTCCTCTCTATCCCAACTCCTCCAACCCCTTCATCTCCATCACTTGTAAGTGCAAACTACAAGCCAAGTAAGAAAATACAACACTTTATCTTCTATTTGTATTCGTAGATGAAAAGATAAGGGTTGGAAATGGTAGGTAGATTGTAAAGTTGATCCAGCAGATGTGGGGAAATTTGGAGAGGGAGGGGGAGAGAGGAGGGATGAGGGGTGAGGAAAGCAGGGGTAGGGATCAGGGAGGAAATTGGGAGGGAATGGAGAGAAAAGAGGTTGGGAGGGGTGGGGAGGTTTTCAAGTCTGTGGATGCGCGGATACTGGCTGGGTGGTGGTGATGGTGATGAAACGGAGAGAGAGGGGGGGGGGGGGGAGACAATGATGATACCGTAATGAAAATTAGATCATGGTGAAAAGCATTTATCAAATATTTATTATCGTCCTTTACTAAATGATCTATCTTGCTACTTCTTCATCACTTCTTAATTATTAGGGTAGTACATTTCCAAGTTACTTTATACTATATCCCAGTACAGTAATATGTTGTGAGAATGATAAAGTATAGTAAGTTGTTTGCGGTGCATTAATATGTACAGGGATCGAATCATGTTTTCGTAGGTAATCTTACAATCATAAGCGAGTTGTCGAGGGAACGGGCAAGGGCGGCTTGTACTCGGAAATTGATATCGGTGGGGGGGATCGAATTAACTCTAGCTCTTATATACAGAGAGATGTGATGTGTGGAGATGGGTTGTAGTATTTGTTCCTGTAGAGTTTTTGATAGAGTAGAGAGATGTGCTACTTTTGGGTGTATAAAAGGGAGGTTATGGAAATGAGTGGTGTTAGTGGTGGTTGGGAGATAAGTGATGTCCACTCGGGCTCTTAGGAATGACATCTATGAATTCCACACCACCCTTTCTTTTCCCTTCTTTTTCCTCCTTCCCTCCTTTTTCTTTTCTTTTTCCCTTCTCCCTCTGGTATACTTCTGTAAGCCTTACTCGTACATGTATATATTAGCTCCACTTAGCTTTTATTGATACGCCCTCAACCATCCCCTATGACTTGTTGGCATTGTGTATATACTCGAGTATGTATCCAGGATTATATCTTCGCGTGTTCAAGGCGGTCAGGTCAGTCTTGCCGCTTAAGGCTAAGCCTTAGTCACGTCGCGTCATTCGTTTGCCATTTTCCAACATGGGGTATATTCATTTATGTGTTCCGCTCGAGATCCAACCATCTTCACTAACATTATGGCCCATAGAGAATCTGACGATTCTAAAGTTAACGAACTACAACTCTTTAACCCACGCAAGCGTCTCCGTTTAGAGCAACTTCTGCCTCAAAAACTATCGCAACTTCCATTGAAAAAGCAGAAGTCCAAACATCTTCCTAGAGGATCTCAACCACCGGCGGAATTTTGGGATAACCTATCGAAGATTTGGTTGACCGAAGACGCATTAGAAGAGTTAGACCGAAGGAATACTCAATCTGCTAAGTTCACGCCGCTCACAATACCAACGATCCAGCCAGCCTGTCACTCGAAGCGTTGTTGCTAAGTGGAAGAATAAGTGGGAGCATACTCAACCTGCCACTGACTCTCTCGCCCGTTACTCTGCAGAGGATATACAGCTGGTTGCTCGACACGGTGGTCTAGATTTGTCGGACATTATAGGTGTACGTATTGCCAGATGCCTGCTGAAGTCTATGCTGATTATTCCCTCTCTAGTATCGCAATCCCCTCTATTGCATAATGAGCTCGAAGCAGTCTATTTCTAGGGGTCGAAAACGGAAATTGACAACTCCTTTGAATACCAAATCTACTACACATACTACAACTACCGAGAATACCGGGCCCTATGATCGCAATTTTCAACAAGCCCTCATTGACGGTGGTGTATACTCTAACAACTATCGGCATCCTGATGGCAGTATAACGCCAAAGCCAAACAACTTGGGGGAGATAACTCAAAGATTGGCGCAGCGTCGATCTTCTCTATCTCTGCCGCAATTCTCTGATGAAAAGTTTCGAGAGTTTCAATGAGCAAATACGGATGCCTTGAAAGAAACACAACTCACGGAATCAGTGATTCCTATCATCGAAGGCAACATTGAAAAGGCTGAATACTCTTCGGGAGGAATCCCGTTCACAAATTTGGACGATCTAACGGCTGCCGCGCTCGTGTCGTTTGGTAATCCGGACCGCTACTACGGCTCCCGACCCGAACGACTCAGCCTACAAGTTCGAACCAAGCTTAGCAACCATATCATCCCTTCGACGCAGCTCGACCTTCCTGTCGCGCCGAACTTCGTGTTGGCAGTAAAAGGCCCGAATCGGTCCTTCAGTGTGGCACAACGACATGCAAACTACGACGGTGCGTTATGTGCGAGAGGTATGAATAGTCTGCAATCATACGGGCAGGACGAAACGGCGTACGACAACAATGCCTCTACCATTACGTCAATCTATTACGGTGGCTGCCTCAATATGTACACGAGCCACTCCGCACAACCAAATGGTCCCGGGAGTCGACCTGAATACTACATGACACAAATTAACGCATGGGCCATGACTGGAAATGTTAAAGCCTTCCGAGATGGGGCTCGGGCATTCAGAAATGCCAGAGATTGGGCAAAGGAGCAAAGGGATGAAGCAATCAGGCAAGCGAATACAAGAGCAAATGATATCAAAGTTTCTACCTTTGTCGCTACCGCATCACCAGGAGTAACCCCCGAGTCTCAGAGCCAACAGTCTCTCAGCACGCAAATTGTTGCCTCCAACACAAGCAAACCCCCGCATCAAGACTCGGATAAATCATCAGAAGACTCGGATACATCATCAGATGAGCTTGCGAGAGATATGACACCACCAGCAAAACGTTCAAAGTCGTAATAATCCCGTCACCGAAAACGTAACACAGGTGCCTTTTGAAATCAGCAAAGCAATACGACTGCATGGACTGAGTACGAGTATATACTCAATCCTTTCTCTGATATGAAGTTTCTTATCATGCGATTGTAACAGAGATTTATGTGGAGTGTATGCCTGAGGGAAATTGCATGTTTCTGTTTGGGGTATAGATACATGGGGAAGAAGTCGTTTTGAGGGATATTGTGAGGGGTTTAGGGAGGTAGGATAGGGGTGGGAGAATAGGGCTTTTGTTGTCGAGTTTGAGGTTGTGTTGTCTAGCGAATTATGAGGTCACGGTGATCAAGTGATTACTATGAAGGTTTCATTGTGATTTGACTTTGATATAATCAGGGATTATATCATTGTTGTTATTTTTATCAAAGAATAGTTATTTTAAGTAAGTGACAAAGACTAGGGGTTGTGCTCGATTAGAGAGATAGTTGTCTAAGACTATTGTTCCATATCAAATTATTTCTCCAAAAAAGACTTTTTGTGAAGAAGAAAAAGACCGTGACTCGGAGAACCAGTAGGCAGGGAAATGGGAAATGGGAGATGGAGTAATCTTACAAATATAGTGGCAGTAAGACATTTTACTTTGATGGTAAAATCTTGAGTTAGATCAATATTGGTAATGCTAATGCTGTAACACCAATCAAATACATACCTCCCCCTCTCTCTCCAACCCAGCCCTACAACCCACAAACCCCACTCCCCACCAACCCCGCCCTCCCATAATAAACCCTCGGCAGACCCCCCCTAACCACAACCCCCAACCCCCCACCTCCATCCGTAACCATCGTCTCACACGCCAGCACCTCCACCACCTGTACCCCTCCCGCAAACCCCGTCTGCGCCCCCGTCAACGCCACCGTATAATTCCCCGCCGCACTCCCCTTGTTGGAAAAAATCCCAATAATCTGTTTGCCCGCGTACCCCTTGCGCATAACGATTGTATGCGCGTTGCTATAGATGGGATAGGCTTTGTAGGTGACATACGTGGGGTCGATGTAGATAGCTTGGTTGCGGATTTGGTTGAGGGAGGCGATGTGGATGGAGAGGGGGGGGGTGGTGGGGGAGTAGGGGCTGGAGAGGAGCCAGAGGGCTTCGCGGTTGGAGGGGACGGAGGAGCTGGCTAGGTGGTGTTCTTGGCCTTGGTAGACTGGGAGGAGAGGGTGTTAGAGTGGGTTGGGTTGGGTTGGGAGGGAGGGAAGGGGAAAATGGGAAGGGGAAAAGGAGAAAGAGGGAAAGGAAAAGGGAAAGGGTGCATGCGTACTGATGGGAATACCGTCTGCGAGAATAGTAAATGCGATTGCGTTCTTCGCTAACGTCAGATCAGACGTATATGAAGGAAATCTTGCTACATCATGATTTTCTAGAAAGGAACCCAGGAGTGTCGTATCTGAACATGTACTTTTCATGGTATTAATTCCATTTACTAGGTTGGATATACTACCGTTTGTGGATTGGAAGGCTTGAGTGATCCAGTAATATCTATAGCATATGGAATTAGTCTTATTTATGGGGGTTTGGGAGAGGGAGTGGGAGAGGGAGTAGATGGACGTACGTGGGATAGTTGAGAACTCCGTTCATGTAGTTTTGAAATGGGCATACGTAAGTAGGATCACCGTTGTAGATTTCTCCAATGACATAGACGCCGGCTTGAATATTTTTAGCTCCAAGTCTCCATATTGAAAACGATTGTTTGAAAATAGAAAGTCACATACCAGCATCTTGAAAGCTCGGAAAGAAATTCACACCAGTTTGTTGGGCGCTATCGACTCTCAAGCCATCAATTGAATAATTGGCCACCAGTTCTGTAATCCACGTATTCCATATCGTTTGAACATTAGTATTTTCAGTTCTCAGATCGGGAAGAGATACAATGTTGTCGCCTTCCCAACAAACTTGAATGCTAGTTGTGTTGCTATAGTCGATTATGCAGAAGGGATGGTAGTATGATTGCTGATATGTTGTCAATGGCATGATTTGGGTTGGGCTGAGAAGATTAAACTTACCGAGTTGAAAGGAGTGTAGATACTATAATCTACACACTTTCCACATCCGAGATATCCCATGTGGTTTGTGACGATGTCGACCATTAGATACATTCCTCTAGCATGAAGCTATTCGATAGGGTCAGCATCGATTAAGTGGGACAGTTGTGGATTGGGGAAACTACTCACCGCAGTCGATAATGCTTTGAGATCCGCAGATGTACCAAAATTAGGATTGACCTGGTAAATATTCTGCGCCCAATATCCATGATAGCTCGAACCATCCTGTTATCTTTGCATCAGTGTATGAATCGAATAGTCCACCGATTCATGGAAACATTGATGCCCCATTTCACCCGAAAGGAAGAAAGAACCAAGACTAGCATACCACACTATCCCCCACAATATTCTGCACAATCGGAGAAATCCAAATCTACACAACATCAGCATGAGACTCCTCATATCCCAATCCAGATTCCGAAAATCTCACAGCCGTAAATCCCATCTGTTGAATATAATCCAAATGATTGATGATCCCCCGCCACGTCCCCCCACAATATTCATTCACATTACACGGCGCGGTGGTTGAGCCATCGGTGCGAGCAAAGCGATCCGTGAGAATTTGATAGATGGACTGGGCTCTCCAACTTGCGGCTGAAAGAGCTGCGACAGTAGTCGTCAGGCATGTGAAGAATATGAGATGGAGGAGGTTTGATTTCATCGTTGCTTGAGATTGGTGAGGGGATTGATAGTGGTTGATAGAGTGGTAAGAGTGCTCAATAGAGAAAGAGGAGGTTGGAACCAGGGAGGGAAAGAACTCCTAATGATTCGAAGTCAAAATCAACTTAAATAATGTGGATGATAAGAAAGAAGATCCTATTCTCACGAAAGATAGTATCCATACTTATACAAGAGAATATGTATCGATACATCAAGTGCATATGATTGTAATCCCGAGTGTGAATATAATAATTTATATATCCGTCCGGTCCTTGAACAAGCCTAGCAATGCTTTTGTATTAGAAAGGAAATCAGCGAAATACTATCAAAACTCGGGTACTTGGGATAAGCTTAGTTCTAAAGTTCTAATAGGGAATAAGGTTTCGCTTTAATAAAGCTTGATTATATCTACTCGAGTATGAGCGGAAACAGAATTTATAATATCTGATTCTTTTACTACTCCATTTCGAAACTAGTTAATGAAAGCTTATGATCCATTTCTGAATCAATTAATAAAAATATATGATTAAGATTTACTATACGAAACCTTATTCCCTATTAGGACTAAGCTTACCCCAAGTACCCGAGTTTTGACAGTACATTCTACATTCTCTAATACACAAGGATATATGCATCAGAGAATGAAGTTGCATATGTATAATTGTACCCCGAGTGTGGACAAACAAACTTACCCAAGCTTTTCTCCACTAAGAAACAAAGGCCGCGAAACAATATTTTCCAGTACGGTGTCCCAAGGTTGTATTATAGGCTATTTTGCCCTAAGTCTGTCTGTTCCTTATTTTCAGGGTTATAGACCTATCAGAAAAAGTTTTGATAACAGAATTACATCTCGAGTAAGAATATACACTATCAAACTCATCCCAAATAGATGAAATCGAAGACATGAACCCTTCTGATTTCCAACGAAGTTAATCTGCATCTCGAAATCTCGGGGTGCCAGTGTATATCTATCTGCACACTCCTTTCATTCCCTGTCACTAAAACATCAGCTGTAAGTGTACCCAGTACCTAGTAACTCGAGTATATGTACAGCAATTGAAGACTTCTTCAACTCCACACGACAGAATGATAAAACCTCTCTATATTCATATTCGGTCCTTTCCACTTCACTCCCTACCTATGTAGTATTCATGAACCTCAATCCCATAAACATAAGCATCGATCACGATACAACACCCCGCAATACAGTACAGTAACCTTACAAGGCGGGGTAAAGGTAACCCTAGTACAAAACCCTACAATTCCTAGTAAATAGCCAAAAGAATAAATGCCGAGGCCACAAAATCGAGGACATACACCTCCACACCTTCCCGAACCGACCTTTAGTGCCGCACCTCTCTTATCCTTCTCATCCTTCTCATCTCGCGGCACAACACCTACCAAAGATCAGAAACGTGAGTCCATGAAACGGGCCGAATATACTCTGTCGATCTCTCATGTATGTACGTACTCTACCGGGTACCAGTATCGGTATCGGTATGTATTATTGACACTTGCATTTGCACTTGCAGAAACGCACATGTCACACATACTATTTATTAATATATTTGTGATCCTGCCACTTGAGTAGATCATAAACCATGTGGTTTGAAAGTCAGCAGGGGTATTGGTTATAAGGATTTGGGGGGTCTCGGGATATCCAATAGTCCGGACTGCAGGATGAATTGGCGTTTTTTAATTATACAATTGATTTTAAATCCAATAAAAAAGCAGACTACTAGTATAGCTAATCTAATGGTTTTTGAAACATAACTAATTGGATTGTAATTTACATTAATTTAAAGTATTAAACTGATTCTAATCATATATATATATAAAACTTTATTACTATTTTTTATATACAATAAATAATTTCTATTTGAATTCTTTAAAATTTTAGGCCTGAAAAAACATTGTAAATCTAAGATTTCATTGATCTTAATGTTATTGAAAGTTTAGAAATTTAGAAATGTAAAAATATTTGTTAGATATTCAAGTTATAGCGTTTTGTTTTGGAAAGAATTCATAATCCCAAGTTATATGATTTGATTTTATTCTTATATATCATAACTAATCTGAAAAACTAAGAGATACAAGAATGAGACGAGGAAACTCATGATCGAAGAATACCATCAGAGAGGTCCAGGTCCAGCATACTCGCGCTCGCACTCGCGCTCGCACTAAAACCCAAACGCATGCATCCTAGATATCTCTAAAGTTCAAAAGGAATAGCCAGCCAACCTATCATCCTTCATTCTTTCCTTCCCGTCTTTACTAACCTAACAGTGCACAGGAACCCTCATAGGTAAGATTAAAGATTCCCTAGTATACACTTATACCCGAAAGCATTTCAATGAAATGAATGCTCATTACTCGAGTATGAGATATAATATCCATGTATGCGTCCAGACTTGGCTGTATTTATGCATAAGGAATGGTGTAAAGGACAATATTCTGATGCAGGTTATCTTTACATTGCTTTCTAAGAAAGAGAGAGGACGGGCGGGTTCCAATGAATATACTCGGGTTTTCTTGATGTCACTTGGCTATTCTGCAAGTGTATTAAATGGGGGTAGGGGAAGGGGGAGGATTGAGAAAAAAGCCCACCATTCTGCACTACCTACCTTGGAATTTGAAATCAGAATGATAGGAGTTTGAAAGTCTTTGCACTCTTTACTTGCTGTTCCTTGCCACTCCTTATGTTGCATATCTTATCATTCATTCAGTATCTCTGCCTTCACTTCAAACATATTCATTCCTTCCTATATGACTGGCTTCATATAGCTTTGTTGCAAATCTGATGATTTTCACAGACCCAACTTTATATAACGGTTATGTTGAAAATTGAGCTATATTGCATATTTGGATATTCACCCTGAAGCTGCATCATGCAATATATTGCACCTCTTATCATTTATCTAGTATATATCTTCCCTTCTTCTCTCAGGCTCTCTCCCGCTATACAATATTCCTCCTATATGCTTTTGTTATAAATCTCACTATTCACATATTACTTTCTCATTTCCTTCATATACTATCCCTCCTTCCCATAGGGCCTTATATAACTTTATTACAAATCTAATGATTCATTCTGATATAATACTATACAATATATTGTATATTTTATTATCCACCTAGTATTTTTTCTTTCCTTCCTTCTCTACACTATTACTTCTTCCCACATAGCTTTATATACCTTTATTGCAAATAATAATATTCACCCAGATCCAACATCATACAATATATTGCACATCTCATCATTCACCAGGTATTTTCCCTCCTTTTCATATATACACCACCATTTCTTCCTTCCTATATAGCCTCATATACTTATATTACACATCCTTATATTGCATATCTGAACATTCACCCTGGTTCAACACCATGCAATATGTTGCATATCTGATGATTCACCAGATTTTCCCCCTCCTCTTCATCCTTCATCATTTCTTCCAAATATACTCATGTTGCATATCTGAACATTCACCACATATTTTCTCTCTTCCTCTACTATCCATCCATCCATCATCATCATCATCATCATCCCTTCCGTCCCACAATAGGATTGTTGGACATCTCATCTCACCTCACAATTCACCAGGCTTTCTAACTTTGATTCAAATTCAAATTCATATTCATATGAGCCACACTTTTCACACCTTCTATACATATATATATATAATTGTATTGAATATCTCATATCTCATGATTCACCTGCAACTACATCTACACCTACACCTTCTATAATTTCCTTAAATATTTATTATTGCTTCAGCTGCAAATATATCAATCTATCTCACAGCATTACAATATCCACATCCATGAAACTCTCAACTCTCAACTCTCTCTCTCTCTCTCTCTCTCTCTCTCTCTCCCCTCCCCCCTCGTGAACACCAGCCCATAGCCCATAGCCCATAGCCCATATCCCATATCCCATATCCCATATCCCATATCCCATATCCCATATCCCATATCCCATATCCCATATCCCATATCCCAAATAATCTCAAGCACAAGCCCACTCGATCTCAAACACAAATACCGTACGTATATCACTCCACAATACCTTCTCTTCCACTCTTCCACCCATCCTTCATAATCAATTCCTTCAATTCAACTTACACTTACGCAACATAACTAACATGAGATAAGGACCGACACCTATTACCTATTACCTGTTACCTGTAGGCCAGGCCATAAATAAGCGTTTATGATACTCGAGTACATACTATATCTAGGATGTAGCAGGCAGGCTGGCTGGCAGTCTAGGGGTTACTATCAATACGGAAAGATACTCCTGGTTTGATATACTGATTGATATACAAGCTACTGGTATCTGTTTAGATTCTTTCCTGTTTGTGAAAGATTTCATTGGGTAAGGCAAGGGAAGGGAAGGGAAGGTAAAATCACTTCCAAGTTCCAAGTTCCAACAACAACAACAACAACAAAATTCATACAATTTTCAAACAGTGTAATATGCTTTAGCTTGTCAACGAACATATCACATACCGGTATCACATATCACTCAAGCACATCAAACATAGTAATCCCTCTCTATCCCAGCTGCGATATCCTATCCTATCCTAAAGATACTCGAGTGCCTACCTACCTACCTACCTGTATTAAGCCAAAAGATCTCTACTCTCTACTGTGAAATTTCAAAGTCAACAAAGTCAACAAAGATTTCCGTTATCAAAGCAGTGATACTATACACAACAAGTACCGGTAGATAAGATGCATATATAGTACACTGATATTCTATTCTACTTGAGTATAACCATACTGTAATTATAATCATACAAATCACCCATCTTCACACTCACCTATTGACGAATCGAATCCAAACCAAATCAAATCAAATCCAAAAAATCATAGTCCAGTACAATACAGTACAGTACAGTAATAACTCAAAATCAAAATCAGCAACGAAATCCCTTTTATCAACCGTGGGAGATTGGAAATTGATACACCTCAGCTTGCGTTTGCATTTGCAAAGATGAT